CCCCGCTACCTCACCCCTCGCCCCTCGGACAAGAGCCCTCGCCCCCCAACCTCACCCCTCGCCCCTCGGACAAGAGCCCTCACCCCCCAACCTCACCCCTCGCCCCTCGGACGAGAGCCCTCACCCCCCTACCCTCACCCCTCTCCCCTCGGACAAGAGCCCTCACCCCCCTACCCTCGCCCCTCGGACGAGAACACAAGGTAAGCCCACGCGCAGCGCCCCCTGCTGGCCCAGACTCACTTGATCATGTGGTTGGCGTAGGCTCGGGAGCAGCAGGTGCTGTAGCGGCACAGCGAGCAGTGCACGTAGGTGGGGTAGTGGTTGGGGAAATCGGGAATGTCGAAGCTGCACTCCAGGCACGTCTGCTTGCCCAGCGGAGGCCTGGAGAGGACAACAACAACAGGAAGGAAAAAAAACACACACAACAGCCGTCAAAGAGTGCAGAACAGGTGCGTAATCTGAAAATAAACCTGTGTTCTCCACTCTGTGGCTAAAATCCTGCACACTTCTTAAACCCGGCAAGAACCAGGCGAGGCCACGAATGATCAAACACAGCTCTTCCAAAATATATTCATCAGTGTGTTTCCAAGGATCTTTGGGGACCATGTGACTGTGTTTTAGGGGACAGTTCTGAGAGAGACCTGCCGGCAGCGAGGTCCAGCCCATAGAGAAGGACGCCGTGTCCCCCCCTCCTCCTGGGCTGGACTGGTAGGCCGGAGGGATACGGTCTTCCGCACGTTTCCAAGGATCGACCCCTCACAGCTTAGGGACGGCGTGACTGTGTTCGCCGGGACAGTTTACAGGGTGGTGGTGGTAAATCCTGACCCAAGATCAATGCCTCAGCCGAGCTGGAGACCACAGGAGTCGGCTGTGTACTGAGGGACGCTGCACTCCTGTCTTGTCCACAACATACCCCCAAGATACCCCCCCGCACCTCTGCTCCTGGAACTTGGACAGCAGCTCCAGCATCTTACTGACGGTCTTCTTCTTGGCGGCGGGTTTCTGCGCGGGGCTCAGCCCCGAGGGGGGGTCGGCGGGCTTGGGGGGCAGGCTTTCCGCCTCCAGGGGCTGGGCCGGGGGCGGCAGCGCGGGGGCGTTCTTGGGCGCACCGGCCACCTTGGTCTGCACGGCGTACGCCCGGATGGTCACCTGGCGGAGGAGCACGGACAGGCTGGGCTGAGGAATATCTCAACTCAACGACAGCAGCAGCAGCAACAACAGGGGTGAATGTGGCTGATCAACAACACTCATCATAAGCTTTACCAATTCTGATTTCGTCTTACGGGAAAATTGAACACCATTTAGCAGTGGCGACTTCATGGGAGTGTGGAACAAGCTATACAGCTGATAGCTGATGAGTGGTGAGCGTTCTGGCGCACTATGGCTGCCGTCACATCATCCAGGTGGGGCTGCACATTGGTGGTGGTGGAGGGGATCCCCATTACTCGTAAAGCGCTTTGAGTGGAGTGTCCAGAAAAAGCGCTATATAAGTGTAAGCAATTATTATTATTATTATTGTTGAAGCCATATTTCAAGAAACAGCTGGTTGGCGAGATTCTCAGATCAGCTGAGTGGCTGAACAGCCTCCTCAAGCTTGTGACCTTCCTTGCACTCTTACGACAGAAGGTTTCACTTTGGCTGTCTGAGGAATCCCCATTCTTCAATCTAAGACTGTTGCAGGTGGAAAAAAATAAAAAGTGAAAAGGAGCTTTATTACAAGCTACTAGAAAACTCCTTTTCCATTAAAAAAAAATGGCAGCAAAACACACTTTAATGGCTGCAAGGCTTAGTTATTCAGAGCGAAAGGGAGACAGAAGAGATGAATAAAATCTGAATTTACTGGAAGAGCACGTGGATGCATATAGATTGGGAATTACTCAAGTCAGATCAAATATCAATGCATTTCCAGATTTAAGGAGAAGAGTACCCAGCCTAGCTCTACTAAAGAGAATGAACAAATCTTCCTGTGCTGTTCTCAACATCGCTGCCTGAGGCCAGAGCTGGCCCACGTGTAACGAGCCCCGTATGGCCGAGGCCAGAAGCCCACGGGACACTCTCACAGACATGCGTCAGCCCGCGCGGCGCCGAGAGCCGCTGGGCCGGTACTTACCTTGGTCCCGGGCTTCAGCCCCTCCAGCTGTTTGGGTTTCCGGAAGGTCTTGTGGTGATGGAGCTTGTGCTCAATTTTGTCCTTGGTGAAGAGGAACTGTAGTCGGCACTTGTTGCAGTGATAGACGCTCTTTTTCTGTGGCACAAAGGCAAAAAGAAACTCTTACACAAATTGCAGGTTTCTTGTGCAGTCCTGGTTCTGGGGGACCAGTGTGTCTGCAGGACTTCTAGGTCTCTTCAGAGCTGCATTGAGCTGATTTGAGTTACTGGCACAGTGGGCCATCCTGGACCTGGACAGGACACCCCAGTCTACAACAAATCACTGGGAAAAACTTAAAAGGCTCCACAACTTTAGAAACGGGTGATGACGTGTGGCCTATGAATACCTGCTGTACTGGGAGCAGGGCTGGAGATGCATGCAATACTAACTGTACTGCATGGATCTGTCTCTCCAGGACTGTGTAGCACGTGACACTAGTGCCAGATTAGCCCTTCCCATAGTGCACTGCAGCCTGGCGGATCCCAGTGGTGGCTGCAAAGTGCCGTTCCCAAGCTGAAGCAGGAAGCTTTGAGAGCCGCAGTCTGGACGGAGACCGGAGGAGCTGGTCCTTCCTCCCTCTCCCCGAGCAGCACGGATAATAATCCAGGCTTCATGAACCCACGAGCCGGACAACAGACAAAGCCGAGCCGCGCGAGTACAAAATGAACACTACTGAAAGAATTTTCCCCCACAAGCAAGGTGAGCAGATCTGCCAAGCGCTGCATGTTTGTATCTTTTGGGGGCGGGGTGGTGTCCCCGATGCGCGCCCGTCCCGCGGGACGATGAGCTCGTGGTTACCTGGTGCCGGAAGAAGTGCTGCTGGAAGGCGCTGCCGTTCTTGAACACCTTCAGGCAGTACAGGCACAGCAGGTTCTTGGTGTCCTCGTGCTGGGCGCGGAAGTGGGCATCCACCTCCGAGTAGTAGGAGGAGCGGAAATCGCAGACCTGGGAGAGCAGGGGACACAGGGGGTGACAAAACCGGCAAGGATCAGCGAGGCAGGTCAGAGGAACTGAATCTCTTCAGTTGCGAGATAATCCGGCGATTATGATTCATGGAACAGAACAGACAAGGACCTGACCCCAGGGTGCTACTTCAGGACCACCAGTCAAACAAGGACCTGGGAGCATGAGCAGAAACACCTGGCCATGACCTTTAGCCCCGAACAGGGAAGAGCGAGCGACCCGATACAGTTATTCAGGGTCAAGGGATCGACTAAATGAAGCCAGGGGATTTCTGAATGAACCTAAGCATCTTCTTCACTTCCAAGCTTCTTCACACCAAGCGTTTTGGAGGTCTGGAACAAGCTAGCCATGCAGTTCAAGCCAAGACCCTTGTGTCTTTCAGGAAGCATCAAGGACGAGAACCTGGAACCAATTAACCACGACCCACTTAACAGGAGAGATGGGCCACATGGTTTCCTCTGGTTTGTAACACTTCCTCCGTTGCGCCTACTGGGATTACGTTATTTTTACCTGCCTGTGTATAATGTACCTTTCAGATCCTGAGCTAATTTAGCGGCTCAAGTCAGGGCAGCGCAATCCTTTCTGGAACATTGGAACATCCCAAAACGCCCAGGTAAGACAGGTGTGTTCTTACCTGACAGACATAGGGCATCTCGCCCGGCTTATGCGTGTTCTTCATGTGCTGCAGGAACACGGGCTCCGACTCGAAGGCCCACTCGCAGATCTTACATTTTGCTGCAGGGGTACAAAAAAAACAAAACATCGATAACCATCATTTCGACCGTTTCGTTTGATGTGTGCTAGTTTAATTCCACAAGAGAACTATTCCAGGTGACGTTAACCAGCACTCCAACTCATCACACATATGAAGATATCTTAACATTTGCACCCAGTTGTTTTCCTTTGCCTGAGTTGCTCCTGCATACAACAGCAGTGCCCTCCCAATCTTCCAGTTTCGAGCCCGAACCCTAACTGCTCCTCCACCTGGCCGTCTAACCATTCCCTTTTCATTTCCTTTATTTTAGTATTTTTTTTAAACATACAGAGAATATCAGACATAAAGCTGCCAGACATCACAAAACATGAAGTATTACAAATATGAATCAGATTCAGAGTCTGCCAATTAATTCTTTTCCAGCTCAACCCATCCACTTCAGACATGGAACACTCTGCAGCTTTCTACAGCATAACATTTAGGTACAGAAAACACATTTTCTTTGTTGGGTCTACAAAGAGAGAAATAAGAATCTGGCTCAGGTGAATGGCAGCAGGATACTAGCCGGGACAGGATTCCTGGCTTTTTCTTTAAGGAAGCTACTGACTTCAACAGTAATCGTTGGGATTTTTATTCCAGACCTCTGCAGGTCACCTGCACCTCTGTGAGTAAAGAAATACGTCTTGTTTTCTCTTGTGCAGGTTTCCCCACTTATCTAAAAGACGATTCTTTATACTGACTAAGTCAGTGCACTGGAGGACAAAGAGACCGATTCTTGAACCAGGAGGGCTTCGATGAAGAATAACCGGTTCAATAAATACAGGTTCTGACCTACATTAGAGAAATGACTTCTTTAGGGGAATCCTGCTTCTCAACCAAAGCAGGACAATTTATAAAAATGTATACCTGTAGATCTATGCAAACCAGACCTTTACTTTTAAGACTCAGGCTTAAGATTTAGTTCCGCTTTCGGTGCGATATGCTGCAACATATCATAGCCCATGCTCTTTACAGATTGCATGGCGCTCAACGTCATTCCTTGTGTTCACCTACTGACACGGAAGCTACTCCTATACTAATTGTTAAGGGCAGACGTCCTTCAAGGAGGGATTTTCTATAAGGCTTACGGGCACAGGGGCAAATGCAAGAGATGTTACAGATGGAGCCTTTCTGAATCTCTGAGCCGTCCCTCAATTCTGTGTCATCTAACAAGGCCAAGTAAGAACACATGGAGCATGCAGGAGCCCTTCACACGGGAGAGCAAAAACAAAGCTGAAGAACCACAGCTGGAGCTGCCTTGCCAGCGGGGTCCTGGGTCGGCGGCGGGCCTACGCACTCGTGGACTCGCAGTGGCTGTGCACGCTCTCGAGGTGGCACTGCAGCTGGAAGGGCGTGGGGAACTGGCGGTAGCAGTGCTGGCAGCTGGTGTGCGTGTCCACCTCGCCGGTCTGCTGGTCCAGCTCCACGTGGTGCTTCATGTGGTTCATGAACCTGGGGGGGGGGCGACAGCAGTTACACACGCAGGCAGGGACACGCCCCCCTGCTCGCTCCCCTGCACTAGCTGGGCAACTTCCTTTTTAGCGAAGTGCAGATTTCCTGCAGTTCTCATGTGCGTGGCAAATCCCGTGCTTTTACAACCTGCTCTGTTTCACCCAGCAGCACACAGTAACCATGCCTAGGTAAAGGACACTGGTTGCTGGATTGTGGTGAACAGTGTTGCCCAGTTTGCTTTGGATTAATCTAATTAATCAATGCTTTTGAAAAGGTCCATCAATCCCCACGTTTTCAGCGAGAACTGAAATTATTCTCCATACATCTTTGGGACAATCAACAAAAGTGTCCCCAGACTGCCTCTTCTACACGGCTCCATTACAAAAGAATTCAATAAGAAATCATTCGGCCTCCTTGGACTTCTTCCCCAGTGACGCACGGGCTGTGGAACAGTGGGAAGAGGTGCCATCCTTTTGGATGAGGAGGTCCCGACTCTCTGTGGTCATTAACAATCCCGGGGCGTTTCTTGAAAAGAGTAGGGGTGTAACCCCGGTGTCCTGGCCAAAATTTCCCCTGGTCTTTACCCATCATGGCCTCCTAATAACCCCCCTCTCTGAACTGGCTTCATCTCTCTGCTCTCCTCCCCACTGAGAGCTGGTGTGTGGTGAGGGGACTGGCGCATCATCCAGGTGGGGGATACACACTGGTGGTGGTGGAGGGGATCCCCATTACCTGTGCAGCGCTTTGAGGGGAGTGTCCAGAGAAGAGCTATGGAAGTGTAAGGAATTGTTTTTATTCTCTAGCCTGGAGTCTTTCGGAGGCTCTTGTGCTCTTAATCAGTCAACACCCTGCTGTACCGCCCTGCTCAGCCGCGTGTCCCACAGTGCTCCGCTGCCGCAGGCTCACCTGATGTTGTTCTTCAGCTTCTTGGAGCAGTTCAGGCACTTGAAGGGGACGGGCTCCTTGCCCTCCCGGGACACCTGGCGCACCCTGCCCTCGTCGCTGCCATAGTAGAAGTCGTCCACCAGCATGATGAGCTTGCCCTGGGCGTCCGCCGCGCCGCCCTGGCCGTCCGCGGCGGGGGGCGTG